TTTCCTTTTGTTTTAGCAAGATCAGACTACCTACCTCTCTATTACTACTAACTAGCAGGTGCTGATGAGAATCTGCCCCCTTGCTTTACTCTAACCAGGCTTTTGCTTGTGGGCATCTTTCATGATTACATCTTTGTAATAAAAAATGTTTCTCTTCTAAGCTTTGGCAGCACACCCAGGCGGTTCTCCTGGTAACTGTCTGTAAACCGATTTGCTGCGAGTAATATTTTGCCAATGTTTTCCTTCGTACTTCTCCACAGGTTCTGGAGTGTGAGCTGTGGAATGAGCCTGTTCACACCCCTTTAAATGGTGAAGCTGTCATTGATTTGGTTGTTGTGGTGGTTTTCTCACCTCTAAGTCACAAAGAAGCCCTGCAATCCTCTCGGGTAGTCATTAGTGTTCCCTTGACATCCATTTAGATGCTCATCTGCACTGAGTAACTAATGAATCTCCATTGCCCTACCACAAACAGCTGTAATTAAATGTGGTTTAAAACAGAAAGGCATTGACATAAATGGCCTGGATATTTCTTCTTAAAATATTCTCTGAGCCATAGCCATCCCTGATCACTTTTGTCATTAAAATGCAGTCACTGAGTCAATGATTTTTTCCTATGCCTCTTTTGTGCATCCGACATGGATAATTTAGTGGGGACCTGATGGCTTGTGCACTCTTACTGGAAATCCAGATTCATGACTCAGACACTCTCTCCCTCTCTCTCTCTTGCGCACACACACACGTGCGTGTACCCTGGTATCACTACAGATGTAACAAAAGACGGATCACTTTGTATCCAGGGTGGTCAACCACTGAAATAAGTTGCCTGGGGGGGTTGTAGAATCTCCATCTCTGGAGATATTTAAGAGCACGTTGGACAGACACCTGTCAGGGATGGTCTAGATGGTGCTTGGTCCTGCCGTGAGGGCAGGGGACTGGACGCGATGACCTCTTGAGGTTCTGTGATTCTGTATACACAGTGGGGTTCAGTGCCCCTTGCAGGCACAAAATACTACTACAGGGCACATACACAGACATTTTCCTCCTTGGCTCCCTCAGCACATCACACAAAGGTAAGTCAGCATTATTAGCCCCACTGGATACGTGAGGGCACTGAGGCACGGAAATTGACTTGCCCAAGGTAACACATGGTGGTATTCGCCCTTTGAGGCAGTGAACATTTATGGGCAGTTAGGGGGCCAGTAGTTGGAACCCCTTACCCCCAGAGCACAGGAAGGGCGGGCACTAGGGAAAGCAACACTCCGCCCCTGGAACACCTACATTCTGTGGGTGGAGAGTGGGTGGGACCCGCCACCCATGGTCACCCCCCCACCAAAATCTGAAATGGTGCCCCTGCCAGTGATCCAGTGACATAGCCAGGAGGGCCCACTTGGATGGGTGGGCAAGAATGGGGGGTGGGAGGAGCAGGACAGGAGGGATGGGACCACCTTCCCCCCAACCGGCCTTGGGTGTGTGTGGACATGCTGGCCAGGGAACCCAGGGATGCATCCGGAGGGCAGGGTTTGCCCTGTTGCACCACCTGCCCTGCGCTCCTGCCCTGGAGCGACATTCCAATGTAGGTTCTAGTCCTGCTACTCCTGCTCCCCGGCTGGAGTGCCATGGGAGAGCAGGATAAGGCCCCATGCTATGATCCCATGGCCTAGCTAGAGTGCAAAGTGGGTGGGCCATAGCCCACTCAGGCCCACCCATGGCTACGGCCCTTCTTGGCACTGGGAATTACACCCAGGTGCGTGAAACATACTTGCTGTAGCTCTTATCAAGCGAGCACGCTAAAAGGAGTGACGTACCCCGATTAGCGGCGAGTGGTCGCATGGGCTCGCAAACCCACGTCTGGGCGGGCTTGCATGCAGACTGGCTGGCTCCTGCTGCTGCTCTGCTCGCAGAGTTGGACCTCAAACCTGGATTCTCTCACTTCCAGTTGTCTGCTTGAATCCCTGCTCTTGGCTGCCTCTGTACGGCGCTACTCATTCTACAGAACAATGTGGTTACAGAACCTGTTCGCAAACCATTTCTCCTCTGCAGCTTAAAAGCTATTGCATACGCAGTCCTACCTTCAAGTTTTCCATTAAAAGCATTTGCGGAAAAGAGCGTCTAGATTGGCACGGACGCTTTTCCGCAAAAGCACTTTTTGTGGAAAAGCGTCCGTGCCAATCGAGACGCGGTTTTGCACAAGAAAGCCCTGATCGGCATTTTCGCCATCGGGGCTTTTTTGCACAAAACAATACTGCATTGTCTTCACTGGCCCTCTTGCGCAAAAGCGTTTGCGCAAGAGGGCTTTTGCCCAAACGGGAGCAGCATAGCATTTCCGCAAGAAGCACTGATTTCAGACAGTAGGAAGTCAGTGTTCTTGCGGAAATTCAAGCGGCCAGTAGACAGCTGGCAAGTCTTTCCGCAAAAGCAGCTGCTTTTGCCAGCTAGACGCAGCCTTTTGCCAGTCTAGACGCAGCCTTTTTGTATATTCAGGCAGAGAGGAGGAGAACCGTGAAGAAAATGCCAGTGCACGGACTGCTGGAAATTCACGAGGGTCCCTAATAGTAATGACTAAGCAGAATTTTCACAAAATTACAATAATAGGACCCCAAGACACAGAAGTGTCTTAAGGAGTTATGGGGCCCTTCACACTGCTGTTAAACTGGTGCCCCTATGCCCGATGGCAGACTGGGGCGGAGGGGTGATGATTTTTTAGCGATGTGGTTGTATAATCTTCAGCAACACACCAATGAAATATTTGTAAATACAATTTTCAACTAAAGCCCTGTCGACTCACACAGGAAATTCAGAAACTGATCGTTTATATCAGGGGTAGGCAAATGCCTATTAAATGTCTTCATTGCCATTCGAATGGCTCTTTTACAGGTTCAATGGACACAAATCAGATATCCAAAAAGGCAACACACAGAAACCTGCTGGGGGACATTTTAACTTGCCAGGGCACTCATTGATGAACCCCAAGTCACCATGTTGTTTCAGGCCAATTCCACAAGCCAACTCCAGAGGGAGGCCTCAGAACTCAGCTTCATTTACAAGTTTAATTCCTATCTCAGAGGTATAAACAAAGACATTGGCTGGCTGGCTGGCTACATTCCACATCTTAATGACATAAAAACAAACAAACAATGAGTACTTAAAACCACTTAGTAACTTCTCTCTCTTCATGTAGCAGGGACACTAATTGACTATTCTTTTCCCCTTCTTTTTCCTTCTCCCCTCTCCCCCATCCACTATTTGTTTAGAAACTGGTTATTTAATAACTCCGGTCATCTGAAGAAGTGGCTTGTGCCCACAAAAGCTCATGATACCATCTTGTTTTGTTAGTCTCATAGGGTATGTCTACACTTGCAGCCTATTTCAGAATAGGGCTGCAAATGTAGGCATTCAGAACTGCAAATCAAGCCCCGGATTTAAATATCCCGTGCTTGATTTGCATCTTCCCGACGGGGCGCCATTTTTTGAAATTTACAAGCCTGGAATAACTGCCCATGTCTACACGTGGCAGTGAAACGGGCGTTCGAAATAAAGCCCTATTTCGAACTACCTGTTATCCCTCCTGCAATAAGGTTTAACAGGTAGTTTGAAATAGGGCTTTATTTCGAAAGCCCGTTTCACTGCCGCGTGTAGACATGGGCAGTTATTCCAGGCTTGTAAATTTCAAAAAATGGCGCCCCGTCGGGAAGATGCAAATCAAGCACGGGATATTTAAATCCAGGGCTTGATTTGCAATTCCGAATGCCTACATTTGCAGCCCTATTCTGAAATAGGCTGCAAGTGTAGACATACCCTAAGGTGCTGCTACATTATTTGTTGCTTTTTAAGTTTTTCCAGTTACAAAGTTAACACGGCTACCCCTCTGAAGCTTATAGGTTCAATGTTCTGCTAATAGCTTTGGCAGACTTTGTCACTTTTAGTTTACTAGAGTCTCTCTGGAGGAAGCAGAGCCATAGAACAGGGATAGGAGGAGGTGGGGTGGTGGACATTAAGACCTGGGGTGCCCCAGATTTTATGGTGCCCTACGCAGCTACATATTCTGTGTATGGGTAAGGATGGCTCTGACAAGATAGTCAAGGGCTTGTGGCTATATAAGGCACCATAAATGGAGTGCCTGATCCTCCCTTGCCAGCATAAATAAAAATGCTTCTAGTGAAGTTAACAAAGCCACGCTGGTGTGCGCATGAGGAGGCTCTGTTCTGCCCCAGGAGACTTTTGTATTTCCCACCTTGCATGCTAGCGGAGTGAGTTTCTCAACAAGATGGTATAGTTTGTAGAGCACTTACTCGCTGAAACGTTTAACCCACCCTCTGTCAAATGGGAAGTTAGCGGTGAGGCTGACTGCTTTTCGTGCCGGGTCAGTGTGGCTCAGAATTATGGCGCTGTCCAAACATCCTGCAGGAGTTTCCTGGCTGAGTGAATACATAGTGTGACGTGCCAGTTTCGGCCTGTGCTGTCAACTGCCATTGCCTTGATGTGCCTGCAAATTACATAGCCCTCTTCTAACCAGCTGTTTCCCCTCTCCCCAATTGATACCTCCGTCACCGATGTAGCTACGTATTATCACAGCTGTTCTTGGAGCACACAGCAGGCATGTGCAAAAGGAGCTGCTGAGCTGTGGATAGAAGCTGTTACAAGTGCCTGCAGATCTGAGAGCTGAATCAATAGAGCCCTTCCATTGTAAAGCTTGGCCCTGTTAGTCGCCGTGTTGCCAGTTTGCACAGAAGTGAGAGATGTCATGGATCACAAATGTGTCTGTGGAGATATTGAAGAGCAGGTTAGATAGACACCTGTCAAGGATGATCTAGATCAGTGTTTCTTAAACTTTTTAAGTTGGAGGAACACCAAAGAATATTTTTTTTTTTTAATGAGGAACACCAAAAAATTTTTGTTGAGCAAAAAAAAAAAAAGTTGCCTGCCCCTTTAAGGGTGGCCATTTTGAACTCGGTTGTTTTCTGCAGGATACCTCTGACTGCCTCGCGGTACACCGGAGCACAATTTAAGAAACACTGATCTAGATGGTGCTTGGTCCTGCCGTGAGGGCAGGGGACTGGACTCAATGACCCTTTGAGATCCCTTCCAGGTCTATGATCCTATGAGTCTGTGATTCATTTGTAAATGTATATACCGCTTCACCCTTCTACTCTGCACAGCGAATGCAGGGAGCAGGGAGAACTTTAAGACATCAGTGGCCCCAATTTCTTGCAAAAAATTCAGCTGCCTTCGCATCACACTCTCATATTTCTGCAATGGCAGGAAGCAGGCAAGCTTTAATCTTCGCTCCTTTCCAGGCACACTCGCACTCAGAGACCCAGCTGTGGATCGTGGCCTTTTTGTCTACGTGAAAGCACTGTGGATAACTTGGTGTATGGAGAACATCTCCCTTCATGGGGTTGTTATAGCTAGATTTCCACTCTTCTTTTTCAGTGCTACCAGATGTTCTGAGCATAGCACCTTGTCTTCGTAGAGAGCCGCTCAAAACCTTGTTTCCTTGCAGTTTCTCTCTGGGCGGGTGTGGCCATAGCCGTTTACCGTCAATAAATATGGCCCTGTTTTCTTCCCGAGTTTGATCATTTTCAGAAACAGCTGTTACCTTTTTGCTTTTCAGACACTTCAGTTCTGGGCAGCTATTTTCTCTCTCCAGTGGTCTTGGAGAGGGAAGCCTTGGGAACCTGAATAACCCAGCTAGATCTTGTGTCTCTCTCTTTTTGCCTTGAGAGTGGGAGGGATGAGTGTCCTCCCTCTTTCCGGTATCACAAGGGCTGAAGTGGCTATGCTGTGAGCCATCCGTGCTAAAGCTTTCCTTGTAAACAGACCCCGCCTTGTGCCAGGTCTTCTCCGCGTGGGCGTACAACTGTTCCAGCGGATCAGCCCTGGGACAGGAGAATACCTTCGTACTGTTGAGGGCTAGACTCGCTTTTTCTGAAGGCATCATGCCAGAGAAGATGTTGATCAGCTGGCACTTCGGAATGGCTTGAGGTGCCGCTGCTGGCTTTGGGAACCATGATGCTCTTTGGAGTCTTTCTAACACTTTCTTGTCTGGGAACGCGTGTTGGTTTTCAGGAAACATGGGGAAGGTGGGCCTTGCCAACTGGCAGATAGACTGAAGGTAGTCATCACTGGAGCAAGAATCTGCCTTGATAGAGAAGCATTCAATGCCTTTTGCATTGCTGGTTACATCTTCAAACATTTCCTCTTGGGTTTCACAGATGGTTGGGAGGGGCTTTGATATAGTCAGTCGTATGCGGGGTGCCATTGCTGCAAAGAATAAATAGTATGTGATTAGCATATGCAAATGATCAGCTATGTAATGAGAACATTGGCATTGCTGTAAATGTATTATGACCGCTCCCCTCCAGCCCCTCCCCGCCCACCCCACCAATACCTTCCCTTCCAGTTAAGAAGGAAGCAGTAATATTCCTGGGAACTTTAGAACAATACTGGGTTTCAGAAATGGTTTATGAACATAATACACCACTTGGCTGATTACTCAGACTTGCTCAAGGACAAACAATTTGGTAAAGAAGCTCAGGCAGCTGAAAATCCCTGGCAGTAACTTTGTTCCTTTCTAAAACAATGCACAATCAACACATTTGCACAATCAACACATTTGCACAATATCATTATATAGCACGGTCAGTTTGGGAGGAACAAGATTATCAGCAGAGGCTTAATGAGGGCTCCTGCCCGCGGTCCTTTATCAGTCTCTCCCCTGTTGTGTGTAGCACAGTGTAGCTGGGAGGCTTTCCTGAGAGAAGAGTGCAGTATTGGGCCTCTAGTTAATAGGGGAAACAGTGTAGCTGAGAAGGTTGCCTGAGAGAAAAGTGTGAGGTTGGGCCTTAGTTAATAGGCTGATTATTTCAAAATCTGTGCTCCTGCTTTCCTCGGGGAATAACACTATTTCGATTTTATTATTTCAGGAGTTATTACTTTCAGTTTAGTTATTTTTAAATATTTTCATAGTGGAGACGTGCCCTTAGGAACCACAGGACTCCTTGCTGTTTTTGCAGATACAAACTCACATGGTCACAGTCCCTCTGAGACTAAAATGGTGGTGAAGGGTTAGCAGGCAGGGAGGTGTCTTACAAAAGGCTGTCATGAGCCATAAAATCAGCCTCTCTGAGTCCATGGTTTTCAGTGTCTAGCAGAGTTACGAATTTACACTCCCGGGATCCCTTTATCAGAGTTCTATGCGAATACTCCATGTCTGAATGGTACCAGCGCCATTGTATGCTTGTGTGCATCACGAGGTATCTATCTGCACGGATCATTTTCTTTATTGCTGGAAATAACTGGCAAGTTGGTCCTGTATAAAATGCAAACAATCGGTTCATTCTCAGCATGCAGAGTACAAACTGCTGTGTACTCACACCTGCTCTGGTCCTGGTTTTTGTCTTAGGGGAGGTGTACGCTAGTAGAAATACATCGTCCTGAGTGCTCCAATGTGGCTGTGCCACTGTAGCGTGTTGGGTGAAGATCCTCTATGCCGACAAGAGCGTGTCTCTTGTTGATACAGCACAGGTATGGACAGCGCTTAGATGGCTACATGTGTCTTTCTCAGAGCCCTCAGCGAAGTAAGTTAGATTGACATAAGCAGCAGCTTAGCTCAGGCCAAGTCTCCACTTACAATCGATCCTCTGGGGTTTGATTTAGTGGTCCTATTAAAGACCGGCTGAATCACATGCTGAGTGCACCCCCATTGTTGTTACTCCTTGCTGTTGCGAGAAGTAAGGAAAGTTGACAAGAGTGTTTCTCCCATTGACCTATCATGGTGGAGCTGCCCCAGAAAATCGATGCAAGGTACATTGACTCCATGCTGCAATATAAACCCATTGCTTCTTGTCCTATCATCAGAGGTCGAGGAGGATAATTTTTCTCCCTCCTCCTGGTAATGACCTTTTGGGAACTTGAAAGCTGCTATCATGTCCCCTCTCAGTCCTCTCTTTTCCAGACTAAACAAAGCCAATTCTTTCCGTCTTCCCTCATAGGTCATGTTTTCTAGGCCTTTAATCATTTTGGTTCCTCTTCTCTGGATCCTCTCCAATTTCTCCACATCTTTCCTGAAATGTGGTGCTCAGAACTGGACACAATACTCCAGTTGAGGCCTAATCAGTGCATAGTTGAGCGGAAGAATGACTTCTCGTGTCTTGCTATGTCCCCGAATCACATTTGTTTTTTTGGTTTTTGGTTTTTTTTGCAACATTGTCACACTGTTGACTCATATTTAGCTTGTGGTCCACTATGACCCTTAAATCCTTTCTGCAGTACTCCTTCTTAGACAGTCACATCCAGTTCTGTACATATGAAATGGATTGTTCCTCCCTAATTGGAGCAATTGGCATTTGCCCTTTTTGAACTTCATCCTGTTTACCTCAGACCATTTCTCCAGGTTGTCCAGATAATTTTGGATTCTAACCCTCTCCTCCTAAGCACTTGCAACCCCTCCCAGCTTGGTATCATCCACACATTTTATAAGCCTACTCTCTGTACCGTTATCTAAACTGTTGATGAAGATATTGAATAGAACCAGTCCCACACTGATTTTGCTCCCAATGTCAGTGGTAGCAGGACCAGGGCCCAGCTGTCCAAACTGGGTGTTTCAAATATCCCGGTGTGTACTTGGGCACACAGAGAAATGGCCTGATGCCCAGAAAGGTTGGCACCTGCAACTCCCATTTACTTCCTTTCTTACTTACATGGTCCATTCTCCCCATCTCCCAGAGCAAACTACAATTGGCTTATGCTTTTCCAGAGAACCTTCAAATGACACTGGGTTGATTTCAGACTTGTGGATCATCGACACAGCAGTTGGGAGGTGCAATTCCCAGCTCAGGTAGACAGAGGCACTAACTCTGCTCCAGCTACCACCTAAAAGTAGCAGGGTGGGGCGGCATGGGCAGCCGCTTAGGCTAATAACCCATATACATACCCAACGAGTTGTGTGGGCTGCTCGGAGACCACTATGCCACCAGTCCAGTAGGGGATAGCTTGAGCAGGCGGCATGGGCAGCCGCTTAAGCTAATAACCCATATACATACCCAGCGAGTTGTGTGGGATGCTCGGAGACCACTATGCCGCCAGTCCAGTAGGGGATAGCTTGAGCAGAACTGCGAGGGTCTGTCTACCTGAGCTGGGAATTACACCTCCATGCTGCTGTATAGACCCACGTATCCTGGCTTTGGTCCCTCTGCATCCCCTCCCTCGCACACTCCCAGAGACCTGTCTGACCTGCCTGAATCAGACAGAATCCAGCTGACAGCACATCAGCTGGTGGTGCTAGAAAGCCGCGCAGTGCCCATGTGACAGCGGCAGGCCCTGTGACCCACCTACTCCCCTGGCTAGGTGCCACTAATCCCCACTGAACCGACACACATGTGGTCTCCCCTCTGCTTGAGATCCCTGAAGGTTCACAAGCTCTAAATGCTGTGATCCTATTTAAGCAGCACGCCAGACAAAGGATATCTTTCAATTCCAGCTTTTGAGGGCCCCTCCTTTTTTCCTTACCTGGGTGGTTTTTTTCTCTTTATAGCTGGGGGTATTCCTAATCTTCAGTTTTCAGCATCTCTCGCTCCTTGTTTCCAAGACAGAAGCTAGGCTGTCTCAAACTGGACTGTGCCTCAGGCTCGCAGCTTCCAGTCAGCTGATTCTGCTGTTCTTTTGTTATTGTTGCTAAATATAGATGGCTGGATCCCTTGTATTTCCTGAGAATCCTAATTTGATAAATGCTTTACTGGAAAGGCAGAGTGGAATCAATGAGGCAGGGCAACAGTATTAATGGCAAAACAGCCACAAGAGCAAAGCCTCTTTGCTTTGGGGATTTGAGGGGGGGTGATCAGTTCCAGTATTTTACATTTTCACAGTGTAAAAGGTAAATGTATCGTGGTGTGTGTCCAGGATCCTCAGAAAGAACAGCTGTATGTGCATTGCCTCCAGTCTGTGAGAGAATACTAGGAGTGTTCTCCTCTCAGATGCTAACTGCAGATGGGGACGAGGGAGAAACACAAGGGAGCAGGTGCCAGTTCCTTGATCCTGGAGCCATCTGAAGTTTTTGGCTGCAGTAATTTATGCCAGCTAGCGAAGGATCCCGAGGGAATTGTCTGCTCACCGGGAACAGCCAGAGCACAATACACCCCTGCTCTGCTCTGCTCCATATTGCCTGCAACAAGCTTGAGGCTTGAGGCTTCAGGTAGAGAGTTATTAAGGATTGTTACGTTGCCTCTGTTCCCACCGAGAGGAGATCCAGGCAGCTACTGTCTCTCTTGCACTCGAGTAGCACAAAGGAACCTGGGGATCTGCCACCGACCTGCAGTTTAATCATTGCAAATCACATCCTGTCTCTTTTGCTCTCCTACCTTTTCTTTGTCACATCTGGTTAGATTGTAAATCTTCCGGGAAGGGAAGAGAGTGTGTGGACACATACAGGCCCTAGCTCAGTGGGATGCTGATCAGTGTTCCCTCTCAGATTTTCCATCCATGAGCGGAGTGAGTTTTGTCTTGTGCACCAGTGCTGATCTCAAGAATACCAAACCAGCCCTTCCCCAGTCTCAAAGAATAAAAGTCGCTTTTAAATCAGATCTTTCACCCAAGGGTCCTTAGGGCCAGCCATAATATTAAGTGCCAGTGTCCTGTATCATGCCATCAGTTACAGATGGGGTAAAAAGACATTTCTCCCCGCCCTCCCCACACACCTGCAAAGTTCTAGCAATAAGCTGTTTTTCTCAAAGACCTGTGCTGTCAGGGCCGGATTAAGCTCTTTAGAGGCCCTAAGCACTGAAAAGATTATGGTGCCCCCATACATAATTAAAAAAACCCAATACTATACCATAAAATCGCTTTTTTTTTTTTTGGTGCCCTGCTTTGCTGGCGCCCTAAGCACGTGCTTAGTCTGCCTATTGGGTAATCCATCCCTGTGTGCTGTGCTGCTAAACAACACCAGTAAGAAATGGTGGCAGTAATGGGATCCTAGGCAAAGAGCAACTGCTGCAGTTAAAAAAAAAAAATCCAGAGTGGAAATGCCATGGAATTTGTGTGACCATCAGCATACTGATAGACTTAGCATGGTCAAGTCAGTCATTATTAAATTGATGACAAGCAGATGTTCACCCATATAGTAAAATGTCTCCAATCGGAGAATCCTTCAGTTCCCATCTCAATTGGTGTTTCTTAATGTACAGTAAAGAGGAGATAGGGTGCACTTTTAGTGGGGGCAAAGGGATAATATGCCC